ACCTTGATTAGGCTAAGAAATGCCCTCCTTCGATCGTTTTGCTGGATTTCTAGCTGATGTTGGAGTTTACACACACAAATTGTCGAATATTTCCTACGAAAGTCTCTTGAGAATGATAAATGTATGCCCATACCCAACTCATAATTCTTATGTACAGTTCTGATCCTTTATATGTGTTCACCACCTGATTTCATACAAAGATGCATGCTTGCATATGTCATATTTGAATTTTTAAATACATGATGCTTGTGATAGTTTTAATATCATCAGAGGTGGCAAGTACGAGCTATTAATTTCTCTTTTACTACACTTTCTTTACTGTATTTTTTTTATATGTATCCTATTTATGTATAATTTACCATACATATAAAAGATCCCTAAGGTAGAGAACAGTAGGTCATCTGTTTTGAAGAAACCTTGCTACAAAACCTTGCGAACCAACAATAACCGATAATCATCAATTTAAACTCACTTTTTGGGACCCAAAAACATCACAATGAGGGGCCCAAAGCAAACTCTTCATGAAGCAAAACAACACAATCAAGCGGTAGACAACCTTCGGGCGACGATCAAGACCAAAACATGAAGCGAAGGATGATCCTCAACTAAACCTTCCATAGACTTGAATAACATGAACCCTAAGGGCTTTGAGGTTGTATTTCTAGTACGATATAAATTCTCACACTATCTTTTAGACCTTCACACGATTGTATGTCATGTGATTTAAGCCCTGACTCTTTTTAGGATTCTGAGGTCGCTCGTTCGGTGTGACATAAATCCTCCTATCTTCTAGTGCTACTTGCATGATTGAGTTTTGTGCAAGTGTAAGCCCTAAAGTATAATTAAAATGATAGGAATAAACATCAAATAAAATCACTTCCAAAATAAAAAACCGAACAATACAATGTTTTGGGAAGTCATTGAGGCTCTCATCATACTCTGTGATATCCCCTACTTCTCGCTCCTTTGCTCCCCAAAATAACTATTCATACTTGAGCTCTCCTCACTTGGTTTTCCCACAACCAGTCATGAAACTTAACTATGAATTCTTGAAGACGAAACTCTTGATCTTAATCGAGAGTTTTCTTAGGTGACTTTGGTTGCCTAAGATGTAATTAATTATAAGGGCTTGCCCTATTGGAGATTAGTAACCCAGATAATCTAAACTCAGTCTAAACTTTATATTAGATCGATGAATTGTCGGTCATAAATTCTGCAGACCAAATAAGAGCCATAAATTTCCTAGTTTAAATAACTAAGCCTACTAAAAAGCAATGCGCTTACCTTTCAAGAAGGTGTATCATTTGTGTTATTGTGTTCAATTAATTAAAATATCAAATGAATGAGATCTATCTTGCCTCACTTTTTAAAATTAAAATATTATTTTCAAAATTTAAATTATATATCTTAAATTAAATTAAGTATATATTCTTCAAAGCCACTTTAAACCCATATAAAAGTATCAAAATAATAGACTCTTAAGTTGAGCCTAAAATAATTCTCATTGAGAACTACTATAGCTCAATTTTAAAATAGTTAGAAATTAATTTAAACTCTGAGACTAAAACGACCTCATATAAATAGTCGTCATGAACTATTTCAGCACTTACTCCTATAGAAAATATATCATAACTTTCTTAAAATAATAAATAAATAATGGATCAGTTACTCTTTATATAATGCTCCATAAAAATATAAGTGATTTAATACAAAATGATTTTTTTTTTTTTTTGTAAATGCTTATAAGACTATTTTAAATTAAAAATGTAGAAAATGTTTAATCTAGTAAAGGTGCTATATGAATATTTTGACTTTATTTAACAAGTGCTCCTTGTCCAAATTTTTTGTTCGATGTGAGTTGTAATTTTTAATATTATCTTTTTCATGGAAATAGAATACTAACATTTGGATTCTACAAATGACTGTCTTTTTTTAAGTCGGTACGGGCCAAAATACGACTACAATTTAATTCGTTACAAATGGTCATTTGGCTACATATCATAGCCAGGGAGGTGTATGGTTGACATTAGAAATATCAGAGGGCATATTTAAATGTTTTTTACATTATTATTACATCTAGCTCATATTTCATGGATGCCATATGGATCAATTTGTATGTTTTCTTATTTTGTCTTTGCTTCTTTTTGAAAATGATTCCGGGTTGTTTATAAAAGGTAGTTTTGATTATTTCAATTAGGTTTAATTATGATTAACGATGTGTTCATTTTATTATTTTTATCATACATCTTCATCAAAAGCACCAATTGTAGAAAGAATGGTTTATTGTATTTACTAAACTTGATTTACCATTAAATGAAAATCCTTAAAACAATGCAAATGTTGCCATCACCCCGGTTATAAATCACCATATAAGTAACTTCTTGTGTTATTATCGGTACAACATGATAATATAATTGGACATTTACATATGTATCACACAACTTCTATATATTTACATATAAAACATCTAAACTTTCATATTTACATACATTACACTTAAAAGATTCTCACCTATGGTTGATGAGTTTGAAATGATATTCAATAACCAATTTGTTAAAGCTCAAAATCCATTGAAGAATTCCTATGCCTTATTAATGATGAGTTGAGAGCATGGAGAGTTGCTACAAATGTTTATAATGAGATTCAAGAAAAGAATGCAAGATGTAATAGATTTAAAGCAAGACATGGCGCAAGTTATATTTACTCAATATATGAGGGAGGGATTTTTTTTTTTATCTTATTCTTTTCTTGTAGTAACCTAAGATTTTTATTAAGTTGTTGGTATACACTAATATCTATATTAATGTAAAAAAGTACAACTATGATTTCACTATTTTGACTTCAATTTTGTAAGAAAAATAATTAATGCAAGGAATTACATTGATTTCTTAAGGAACATTGTAGTTTTCTAAATAGCACAATAGTGGAGATGAATTCACATTGTTAATAACAAAGATGTGAGTGTAGAATGCAGTATATTTATGCTATGAAGTACATTTTTTATTGTTGTTTATATGTTTGTCGAAGGTGTATTGATTGTGTATTGCATGGCAGAGGTGTCAAGAGAACTTGGGGTGAGATATGCTCCAAAATGGTTGAACTGGCACCCGGTGCTTGGAACCAAAGGATCAAGCTTCTACGTGTCTGTCGTGGGCACTCGGGTTCCTGTAATCGATGGACCAGGTGCCCATGCACCATTCCTAAGTACCTAGGTTCCCGAAGGTATAGCCCCAAGCACACTCTTGCCAGACAACAATATAATTGTGACACTCCTCAGTGTGGAGCGCTCAATTACGCAGAATGATGATTTTGGAAGGTTGTATAGAGGTGTTCGGAACCCTAACGATATTAAGGATGGATTTAGGAGATCTAAGGGCTCTCTCTTGCATTTGGAGGTTGTCTCTTATTCCATTGTGTTCTAAGAGCTCCTCATCGAAGGATCAAATATCGATAGCAATGAGAACTCAAATCGATTGATAATTTCTAGCCGACAAAGTAGGCCTGCCAACCCAAAGACCACAAAGATCGACCTATGACCCAATTCAATATAGTCAAACTAGCAGGCCTTGTCCAACTAAGGCCCACCAAGTTCAACTTACCGAGTCAGAGGGTAACCGACTTGTTGGTCCATATATGTAAAAAACCTAAAATATCCTATAACACGTCCATTAAAGCAAGGGCAAACATGTAACTTCATATATTGTACCCCCACCTCTATAAATACAAAGTTCATTTTTTGAGAAAGATCTATCAATAATTAGACTTATTATTGTTGAACACTGTGCACTTCTCTCTCTCTCTCTCTCTCTCTCTCTCTCTCTCTCTCTCTCTCTCTCTCTCTCTCTCTCTCTCTCTCTCTCTCTCGTTTTAAGCTCTAATCCTTAGGTGTGATTTACAGACAAATCAAGATTCAAAAAAAATCAAAGTTAAAGGATCAATCTTCTGGTTCACTTTCCTGAAATTGTTTGAAAAAGTTTTCCTAGTTAAAATATAATTGGCTTCATCTTGCATATGCTTTGTGTATGACATAATATGTTTGTCAAGAAATCGTATGTAAGAAATCTCAACTCTTTCGCATTTTATTTATGCAAGTCATACATAATACCACCTTACCTATGCATGAAAAGGTGCACTTCATTCTTTTAAATTTAAAAAAGATTGTATTTTTTATGTGATAAGAAAGATTTGGGTTGAATAAATGCATAAAAAGTAAAGTTTAGCTATTAATACTATATGACGGTATTTTGTTAACGAGGAGCTGCAACATGTAATGTTGGTGACTTCAAGGAGTCGATCTTTGAGTCAATTTGATGATATTTGAATGTTATACTAAATTTTTATGATGTTGACTCTACAAATATGAGATGATAGGAGGATTTCATATGTATGATGAGTATGTTCAACTTAATTTGTAACTTTGAATTCCAACCTAATGTCAACCCCTATAATTCCCACCATAAATTGTAATATGTCGAGATGTCCATCATTATTATCGTTATTATTATGAGTACATTCATGTTTGATATTTTTGAGTACTTGTACTTTTTTTTAAATAAGTTTGAATATTTTTAGGCATGTGGTTATGATATATAGAACGATTTGTAATTTTATTTTTATATTTTTATTAGCTTTCAATCTATTTTGTAATTTGCAAAATTAAACCATTTATTTTTTAATTAATAAAAAAAGGAATAATATAATGTCAACAAAAGCATTTTTTTTTTCATTTGATTATATAGAAATAAGCTTTTGTATTCAAGTTATATAAACATATAGAGCAAATCTAAAATTTGTTCAAGCCCAATGTTGGCGTAAGAAATAGTTTATCAAGTTTAATGCTTAATAATAAGACTATGATGAGCATAAATTTGCAATGCATGAACCGGAATTCATATAAATCTCTTTATGGAACCAAATAAAATAAGCACAGCAGGACAATATGACTTCATATTTCCATGATAGTGCATTTGCATACTTGTAACCCATAAAACATGTATTCTTCACCATTTTGGTCTAGCAACCAGGCGAAGTGCCTCCTTCTTATGTGCCGTGAGTCCAACCGCCACATCCATGTTAATATCTTCGGCCTTCATTCCATCCGGTAATGACCAATCAAAACAGTGGAGGAGATTCGCCAAAGCAAGCTCCACAACCACCATTGCGAAGTTGAACCCCGGGCACTTTCTCCTCCCCGATCCAAAGGACAAAAACTCAAACTCTCGTTTCTTGAAATCCACTCTGCTTCCGTCAAACCTTTCTGGCCAAAACTCTAGCGGTCTCTCCCAAACATTTGGGTCTGTGGAAATGGCGGCAGCGTTGAAGACAACACGGGTATTTGCAGGGATGATATATCCTCGGATTTCGCATAGCTGAGTCGTTTCTCGTGGAATGAGTGGGGCAGCAGGTCTTAGCCGCAGCGATTCCTTTATCACTTTCTTGAGGTATTCAAGCTTTTCGAGTTCGCTTTCTTGGATGAGTCTGCGAGCATTTCCATCAGTTGCTTGCCTCAGTTCTTCCAGCAATTTGTTCATTACTCTCGGATTCCTCATCAGCTCCGTCATTGTCCATGTTATTGTAGCTGCTGATGTGTCTGTTCCAGCCATAAATGTTTCCTGATCATATAATATGTATAATGTGATGAACATTTGATATAATCCATTAACATAATGACTATTTAAAACTATAAAAATATTTTTCCTTCTTTAATAAGCAATGTTAATTACTTGCACATAATTATGATTTTTGCAGTGTTTAAAACCTTTTTTTTGTTGTTATTTTAATATTTGTTAGAATAATCAATGTTTTAGAATTTATGTGGTTTAATAAGTAAATGCAAGAAAACTGATTTTGAGAAATTCCAAAGAATTTAGCGCTAAATATTTAAATTTTGGTGTGAGAAATGTAAATATGTAAGAAGTGAGTGCTATGTTTGTAAATGCCCCTATAATTAAACATTAATGCGTTGTAGAAATTATGTGGTATGTACAAATTTGAGATCTCTATCAACAATTTTTTAAATTCTATTAAAATTGTAATATTTTTTGAGTGATGTGAAAGATTTGTGTGGTATAAATGTAAAAAAGTTAAGTTTAGGTGTTATATATGTAAATGCGTAGGAATTATGTTGTATGTATGTAAATGTCTCTAATATGTAATAGAATAGATGATTAGTGTTGGTAGGATTATGAATATGTTGTGAAGTGTATCGGGTCGGAGAAGAAATTTTAAAAGAGAGACGTTTACATAAATAACACTAATTATCACCTTTTAAGTAAATTCATTTTTTCATGCATATGTAAAGCGAGAAATATATGACTATGACAAGACCAATCTATTATTAGTAGGATCCCCTAATTTGTTTGATATACTCGTCAAAAGTTGATAGTATCTCAAATTTGAATCTTATTTGTTATATATAACACCATGACAAGAACAATTATGTATTCACATGCATTTTCTAAAATTTGACATGTTGAATTGATTTATTCATAAAAATTTGGTAATCAAGATTAACATTTCCTTGTATATTCTTGTGCCAAAGTAGTGATCAAATCTTTTAGGTGCTAATTGGGAAGTGTATTATTAATCACAAATATTTCTTTCAATAATCTTAGTCATGATTAATCACCCTTGTCACCCTAAACATAATTTAAAACATTTTTTTTTTGCCCTAAACATTATTTCAAAAGCTTTTATTGTTGAACATGAATATATATACAAAAAAAAAAAAAAAAAGTTGCTCAACTTACAAGTAAGGTTGCCTTGACATGATCTATATTGCTTAGAAAACCTCCATGATGAACAGCAACCTTATGTCGCCCTAACAATATATTTACGAAATCATTTTGTTGCTTGTCACCATTCTCGATAATATTTTCGCTCCCCTCTTCTTCTTCTCGGCACTTAAGATGCTCCTGAATAACTCTATCAAAAAATTTATCCAACTTCTCAAAATGCTTGTCCAACCTCTCATGAAAGCCTCTCAAACGATCAACCCACTCCATCCCAGGAAAGTAATCCGCAACACAAAAACTACCAAGTAAACTTTGGGTCTCATAAATTAACTCATGAAGGCATACCCCTTCTTTTCCACCATCTCCAAACTCATCACCGAGCTCAACTCGACAAACCACATTGTTTGAGAACGAAAGTGTCAACTTGCTCAAGTTAGCTACTGAGACATCTTTGATGGCGGCTACAAGTTTCTCGACTTCTTCCCTTCGTATTACTTCAAATGATCGAACACATTGAAGGCTGAGAAGCTCAAGCGTGGCAATCTTGCGAGCTTGACGCCACATATCATTGTGGGGAGCAAAGGCCATGCTGGAGAAGTTGTATAAGAGCTTCTTTGGCACGAAGAGTGCAGGACGGTTAGAGAAAGTGAGGTCGTGGTTGGTGAAGATCTCCTCGGCTATGTCGCTGGACGAGATGAGTAGGGTGGGAATGGATCCAAATTGGAGGAGTATAAGAGGGCCATATTTATTTGAGAGACTAAGAAGCGAATGTTGAGGCTTGTTGGCATCGAAAAGATGGAGGTTGCCGAGTATAGGGACGGGAAGGCGTCGTGGACCCGGTGGCATCTTCTTTCTTTTCGTTTCACTAGCTTTTGCAAGGATGGTGAGGAAGATGGATAAGGTGAGGAAAAACAGGAAAATAAAAAAGAAGACTTGCTCCATGGCCATATGCAAACAAGGATGGAACTAATGCACTTTAGAATTGGCACCATATATATAGAACAAAGATGGTGAGAAGATATTTATTAAAAATTAGTTAAAATTGGTTTGATTTTTTTTTTAATTTATTTTAAAAGGAAGGTAATATTTACAATCCATTAGTTCTTATATTGCATTCATTTCAATATAAATTTATTTATTTAAAATAATATCTCAAAAAAAATTTAATTAATTTTAAATATGAAAGCTTTCAAAGTTGATCATGTGCTCTCCTTCGGTCAAATTTTCTCATAATTTTAAAATGCTATTAATGACATAAAAAGTGATTGCATATCATTTAAATTTGACATAGAAAAGTCAAAATCATTTTTTTTTTCATAAAAATTCTATGCGAAATTCCTTTTCAAAATTCTAAGAGAAAATAATAATAGAAAAAGAAGATATTTTATTTTTATTTTCTTATTTTTTGTATGTTTAGTATATTACTATTATAATTGAAAGTTATCCATTTAATTTTACCTTTTTTTTTAAGATAGCCCCAATATTATTTTTTTTTCATTTATGTATATAAGTGGGTTGCAAATGAATTGAATTGAACCGAGTAGGTGCCTGCTCGACCTTGAGCTTATGTATCAGCATCTTGAACTTGAGTCTCTTTTTTTTTTTTTTAAATTATGTTCTAACTTGAGCCCTTTTATAAAATTTCTATTTTTTTAAGTTCAGCTCGAGCACAATTTGAGCTGATCAATTTATATTTAGAATCATCAAATCTATGAAGGAATAATTCGTTTAATAAAATAAATTGCCTTTATTGAGATTGTTCACAAGCAATTTGTTTTGAAAAAAAAAACAAGGTATTTTATATAAAGCATTGTCTCGCCTAATCAAGCTATAAATGATATTATTCATGAATATAAATGAGTCAAAAAATAAATTGTTCAATATTTTTTTTTCATTTAACAACTGAATATTTATAAAAGTGTTCAAACTTCTTTCAATAGTAAGATACAAGTAACTTATCAAACACTTGATTCATTTGCAGCCCTAGATTTTGGCAATGCTGACGAGGAAGAAGCTTGAAGACAATTAAAAAAGGAGTTTGAAGACAAGAAGAATTGCCATGATGAATAGCGAAGAGAATGCCAATGACATCTTAAATTTAAAGCCTCTTGTAATTACTCCTGTAATGCATGGTTGCATACTGCCAAATTTGTTTTTTTGTATGTCGTTATTATTTGTTTTATGACAATATGCTAAGTCTTTCCTAATTTGAAAGAACCAAATCATATTTATCTATTACATATGTTGAAGACCATTTCTACACTGTGCTAAAATACCTTTAGTTGGAATATTTTAGAATTTCATTATTTTAATTTGAACTCAAAGCTGAAAGAATTAACTTATAATATTTTTGGGTAATTTCCACTAAGAAAAATTTTGATTGTAGGCAATCAATTATTCAATAAAGCACTTGTGTATTGTCTCACTCTGGAAGAGAAACTTAGAATTAAGAAACAAAAAAAGAGAAAATCATTGTTTTTCGTCGTTTTAGGTTAGGTTTCTTTAGAAGTGTTTAAGACCTTTTTATAATTTTTGCATCTGATTATGGATGTATATGACTCAAACTCTGAAGAAAATTCTTATATTTAGAACATGTTATGATATTCTTATAATATTCGTACAATATATTGTGCAGGTATGTCAGAATGATGTAATTTCTTTGCATTTTGAACATACTACAAAGAAACTGTTTGTTACCATTATTTACAATAAAAGTGAGACTTATGATTAGTATTATAGTTATACACACCACACTGGATCATGTCAATTATTGACCAAATTCAAAAAATATAAAATTAAAAGACTTTGTGTGCGCTAAATTTGATTTTAAGAGTGAGAATAAATATAGTAGCACGTTGAAATTTCATAAATCAAACGCAATGTGTGGTTGCTCAGTCATGATTATATATATGAAGTGGACCTTGAATATCAAAAAATTTATAGAAAGTTATAATCATCCATTAGCAATCAGCACATTTTGAGATCATGCAGGTGGATCGGTGAAGATAAAAGAGAAGTCTTGAGATCGATGATAGAAGCAGAAATTAGAGCTACTAATGCGCTCAACTATCTTGCTACAGAAGTAGATGGAGTAGATAAAAGGGATTTATTAGAAAAGATGCATTCAACTTTATCCAAAAGGATAGAAGGGAAAGGATTGAAAATTAACTTATTTATATTCACAAAAAAATGTTTCTTCAGAAACTAATATTTTGGTTGCTAATAAAAAATTTAACTTATTTATATGCATGACAAACTAAGATTTTTGGGTGTTGCCTTCTGAGCATCCACTTGTCAGTTACCTTGATTAGGCTAAGAACTGCCCTTCTTCAATTATCTTGCTGGAGATTTCTAGCCGATGTTGGACTTTACACACACAGATTGCCGATGGTTGCCTACAAAAGTACCTCGAGAATGATTAGTTTGAGCCCATGCCGATCTCAAAATATTTATGTTTGTTCCTAATACTTCATATATGTCCACCACCTGGTTTCATACAAACATTCATGTTTACATATTTCATATTTAAATTTTTAAGTACTGGTTGCTGGTGATAGTTACAATATCATCAGAGGCAGCAGGAACGCGCTATTACTTTCTCTTTTACGATACTTTCCTTTCTATATTTTTGTTATATGTATCCTATTTATGTATAATTTACCAATACCTATAAAAGACCCCTAGGGTAGAGAACAGTAGGCCACCTATTTAGGAGGAACCCTGCGACTCAACAATAACCGATAATCATCAATTCAAACACACTTTTTGGGACCCAAAACCATCACAGTGAGGGGCCCAGAGCAAACTCTTCATGAAGCAAAACGACGCAATCAAGCAGTGGACATCCTTATAACAACGATCAAGACCAAAACATGAAGCGAAGGATGATCCTCAACTAAACCTTCCATAACCTTAAATAACTTGAACCTTTAGGACTTCGAGGTTGTTCGTCTATTATGACGTAAATTCTCACACTATCTTTTAATTCTTCACACGATTGTATGTCGTGCGATATAAGCCATAATTCTTTTTAGGATTCTGAGGTCGCTCGTTCGGTACGGCGTAAATCCTCCAATCTTCCTAAGCTACTTGCATGATTGAGTATTATGCAAATGCAAGCCTAAATTTTAAATAAAATGACAGAAGTAAACTGCAAATAACATCACTTCCAAAATATAAAGCCGAATAATAGGATAGTTTGGGAAGTCATTGAAACACTTCTCAGAATTAGTGACATCTTCTACTTCTCGCTCCTTTGCTCCCCAAAATAATTCTCCCTACTATAGCCTTTCTCACTTGATTTTCATACTACCAGTCGTGAAAACTTAACTTAAAATTGTTGAAAATGAAACCTCTCATCTTAATTGAGAGTTTTTTTAGGTGACTTTAATTGTTTAAGATGTAATTAACTATCGGGGTTTATCTCTATAAGAGAATTAGTAACTCAAATTATCTAAAAAGTCTAATATTTATATTAGATATAAGAATTGTCGGTCATAAATTCTTTAGACCAAATAAGAGTTATAAATTTCCTAGTTTAATAAGTTGAGCTACTAACAAACGATGCGCTTACCTTTCGAGTGGTGTATCATTTATAGTATTGTGCTCGATTAATTAAACTATCAAATGAATTAGATCTATCTAGCCTCACTTTTTAAAATTAAAATATTATTTTCAAAATCAAAACTATTTATCTTAAATTAAATTAAACATATATTCTTCAAAGCCGTTTTAGTCCCCACATTAAAAAAGGTCCAAAAATAACCTCCACACTCTTTAGCCTTTCTCACTTGATTTTCATACTACCAGTCGTGAAAACTTAACTTAAAATTGTTGAAAATGAAACCTCTCATCTTAATTGAGAGTTTTTTTAGGTGACTTTAATTGTTTAAGATGTAATTAACTATCGGGGTTTATCTCTATAAGAGAATTAGTAACTCAAATTATCTAAAAAGTCTAATATTTATATTAGATATAAGAATTGTCGGTCATAAATTCTTTAGACCAAATAAGAGTTATAAATTTCCTAGTTTAATAAGTTGAGCTACTAACAAACGATGCGCTTACCTTTCGAGTGGTGTATCATTTATAGTATTGTGCTCGATTAATTAAACTATCAAATGAATTAGATCTATCTAGCCTCACTTTTTAAAATTAAAATATTATTTTCAAAATCAAAACTATTTATCTTAAATTAAATTAAACATATATTCTTCAAAGCCGCTTTAGTCCCCACATTTATAAAAGTGCCAAAATAACCTCCACACTCTTTAAATTGAGCCTAAAATAACTCTCATTGAGAACTATTATAGCTCAATTTTAAAATAGCCACAGAATTTTTATAAACTTTGAGACTAAAACCACCGCATATAAATAGTCCTCAGGAACTATTTTAGCACTTACTTCGATAGACAAATATATCATAACTTTCTTAATATATATAAAAAAAAATAATGGATCAGTTACTCATTATATAATGTTGCATAAAAAATATACGTGATTTAATCTAAAATAATATTTTTTTTCCTTTTTTTTTTTTTAGTAAAGATGCTATATCAATATTTTGACTTTATTTAACAAATGCTCTTTGTCCAAATTTTTTTTCCCAATATGAGTTGTAAATTTTAAGATTATCTCTTTCTTGGAAAAAGAGTCCAACAAATATTTGTCTTCTACAAATGGAAAAAATATTCCGTCCGGAAGGAATATTTTCTCCCACAAATGACCTTGTTTTTTGTCAGTATGGATCAAAATATCACTGCCATTTAATCCCTTACAAATGGTCTTTTGGCTGCATATCAAAGCCGGGGAGGTCCATGGTTGGCATTTGAAATATTAGAGGGCATATTTAAATGTTTTCTACATTGTTATAACATCAAGCTCATATTTTATGGATGCCATATGGATCAATTTGTATGTTTTCTTATTTTGTCGTTGCTTCTTTTTGAAAATGATTCAGTGTTTTTTTTAGAAAAAAAGTAGTTTTGATTATTTCAATCAGATTTAATTATGGTTAACGATGTGTTCATTTTGTTTTTTTTATCTTACCACTTCCTCAAAAGCTCCAAATGTTGAAAGAAAGGTTTATATATTTACTAAACTTGATTTACCATTAAATTAAAATCCTTTAAAAAAATGCAAATGTTGCTATCACCCCAGTTATAAATCAACATAAAAGTAACTTCTGGAAAATTATTCTATCAGGACTTCTAACGTAGAGAATCATTCGGAGTCCAATGAAATCACGTCACGTGGTGGTGACATAAAACAAAAAATAAAAAACGGCTCGGTAATACTGGGGAATATTCCTCCCGTGTTATTCCGTGTTATTCAAGTGTTATTGTATGTTATTCAGGTGTTATTGTATTATGGTAATATTCCCGGTGTTATAATAACACAATAACACATCAATAATACTTGAATAACACACAATAACACCTGAATAATACAGGAGGGATATTCTCTTGTATTACCAGACAGATTTTATTTTATTTTTTTCTATCACCGCCACGTGTCATGATTTCATTGGACTCCGAATGGTTCTCTATGTTATGAGTCCTGACAGAATAATCAACATGTGATATAATTGAACATTTACATATATATCACACGATCTCTATATATTTACACATTGAACATCTAAACTTTCATATTTACATATAGTACACTCAAATCTTTGACATCACATCAAAAATACCATTCCTTAAATTTTAGAACGCAAAATGAATTGCTTAATGCAAAGGCATTTAATACCAAGGAGTTGTAAATGCAGACAACAAACTTTAGATGTTAGATGTGCAAATGCACAAGAATTGTACTATACTTATGTAAATTTCCCAATATTTGAATTTTGGGGCATTTATATACGTAGCACACAATTCTCATGTATTTACATATCTCACATTTTAAATTTATATCTACACACATAGCACTCAAGTCTTTAATATCTCGCAAAAAAATAGCCCAATTATCAACTTTTAAGAGTAAAATATAAGTTTCATACATATGTTTAAATCGCCAAAGCATTATGCATGTAAATATGAAAGTTTAGGCGTGAGATATGCAAATAAATGAGAATTATATGCTACCTATGTAAATTTTCCTTAATTTTTAGAAGAATTTGAGCACTTCATGAACTTGATGTCTTTAGATAGCTTATAAGTATTCTCAAAATTGACATATCCACTATGTGGGCGAATGTCTTCTTCCATAGACACAAGGTTTCTTATAAGATGATTTCGTCCTATTTAAAATGTTCTGAGATTTACATTCATATTATAAATTATTTATTTATTTATATATCGAACACATTTATTTTGATATCTATTTATAGGGAAATTTACATATGTAGGACACAATTCTTACGGATATATACATCTCATATCTAAATTTTACACAATGATTTAAAGAATTTATGTCATGATTTCCCGATAAAATTTTATACTGGCTATTGGCTACCTAACATAACCTTCCAATTTTCGCATACGGAAGATAGCAAAAATGCCCATTAGAGTTAAAAGAGAAATTTTATAAGAAGGTGGTGAGACCTACAATGTTTTATGGTGCAAATTGTTGATCTATAAAAGAACTAAGTGTTGCTGGAATTTCAATTCCTTTGCTCTAATATCTGAACTTTAATTTTCACGTGCATGTCACATTTCCCGCGCATAAAAAGAAGTATTTCACCTTTTAGAAGTTAAAATAGTGATATTTTTTATTTGATATGAAAAATTTAGGTAGTATAAATGTAATAATTAAGTTTCTATGTTAAATATGTAAATACATAGATATTGGAGGGTATGCATGTAAATCCACCAATTATTTGCAATTTTATGAATTTGTCTTGCGACTCGAATTTGATAAATCTGAATTTAAGTTAGGAAGAAGACGAAATGCAGGGAAAAACTATCGGAACAGGCGGAAATTAATTTATTTATGATTTTTTTTATTGGGCTGGATTAAAATGTTAAATCGGCTACCAAACACCAGGGTAATCTTCTCTAAACCATGAATGTCTTAATGGGCTTAAAGCCGTACTGAATTTCTTAATGGGCTTAAAGCCGTCATGAATGTCATAATGGGCTTAAAGCCGTACTGAATTTCTTAATGGGCCATGAATGTCTTAATGGGCTTAAAGCCATATTGAATTTCTTAATGGGCTTAAAGCCGTATTGAATTTCTTAATGGGCTTAAAGCCGTCACTTCGTTTTCACTACCGCCTCCCATCGGACACCCTCCGCTATCTCCATTCCCCACTGTGCTCATACTCATCTTCTCGGCACGCCTCGGCGGGCCTGTTGGTTCAACAGTAAGTATCCAAGTTGCTGAGGAGGAATGGTTGGGGGGAGCATGGGGACAGGGATAGAAACTTCCATGAGGTACAGTGGCCAATCCAAAACCCTAAGAATCCATGCGAAGGAGAAGCTTCCACTGGACTCCAAAACCCTTATCCAGGTTCGATTTTGTTCTCGCCCTTTGTTCTCTCTCTTTGTTCAGGCAGCTGCTTTTCCCTTTTTGTCTTGTTGTTTTGTTTTATTTTGTATTATTTTCCTATTTAATCTGACAGTGAGTTTGAACTGAAGAAGGTTTTTTCAGCTGATTCGAATCCAGCTTCAATTGGAATTAACTCTCTTAATAATGTGCTAAACTGAATGATTGTAGTTTTCTTGTGCCAATTTTGACATTAGTGTTGACTTAAATGATTGATTTGTTTGAATTAGTTTGATTAAGAGCAATAATATGTTCAGAGATGCACAAACACTTACAAACACACATGCACGCCCACACATCCTACAAATATGTAATGACCTTGTTCCTCATAAAAGCAGAACCCCGTTTTTTTTTAAATTCTTGCTAATTCTAAATTTGGTGTCATAAAAGTTGGTGGATGACTAATTCTGTGGATCTTTGTGGATCTTTGATGCATTTAACCATGCATTCCTCATCAAATTGTCAGAAAAGAAAGACGAAAATCTGACAGCTAAATTAAGTGTTTTCTATAATTAGGAGCTTCCTTATTTAAATTATTTCCAATATTTTTACTCTGATTTATTTTCCTTTTAGTTGAATATTTAGATTAGGAATATGTATTATTAAATTACCTAAAATAGATTATGCATTTTATCTTGTACTTAAAATAGATTGTAAGATTATTATTTAATGGAATGAAAACAAAGGGAGTGACATCGAGTTTATTCAGGATTCAGCCTATTTTTTCTCAAAATTTTGACATGTTATCAGAGCTAAATTTTTATCCTAACCATTAATAATCATTGAATTACTGTCAAGATTCCCTTCCCATCAGCTTTCTTGCGGGACGAGAAGGGATAAAAATTGCCTTGATTCTCGCTCGTCTGCTCGTCGTCCCTTTTTTTTTTGTTCGTCTGCGTCATCTTCGTTCTACTTCGTCTTCCTCTTTGACTCAGCCAGTCTCAACAGAATTTTTCCTTCATTTGAACTCCACCCACAGTGGCTCCCGCCTTTGACAACGCCTCCTCTACTCCAGCACCCACCGCAGACTTTCTCACTCATCAACGCTCAGTCTCCCTCACGTTCTAGCAAGCGACAGATCACATCGTCTCCCTCATTTGTCCAGATCCCGCTTTTCTCCCTCTCATTTATGACACACAACCGCTGATTTGATGCACCCATAGTTCCTGTTTTCCTTCTCTCGCTCTCCTCCTTGTCGTCCGTCTTCGAAGCCCCGCACAATAATTCATTTGTTGCTCCTCTGCTCGATCGCTGCCCAGCACACGCCTCCGTTAACCTTTTTCCAACCCGAGAACTCCATAGCAACCCTGTCTGTTCTTGTCGCTCCCTGCTCCTCAGGCAAAAACCCCATTCCTGTCATCTATTTCCACGCCACTCACTTCTAACTCTCGCTGTCGCAAGCCTCATTCCCTCAGAAGCATGCACGCACACATTTCGTTGGAACCTCGATCGCCAAGCAACACCCTCTTTCTCTTTGTCATTCGATTAGTGAAGCTCCCTCCCGCTTGTCGCAGGCTCGTAGCCTCGTCGTCAACCTCAGCCTCCAAACACCCGCTTTGGCAATCACAACTTCAACATCTCCGCTTCAGCACTTTTGGCGTCAAGATCAAGGAACAAATCGTCCTCGTCGTCGCAAGAAGAATCAATAGCATTTGGATCGTATAACAGGACACAAATCCGACTTGTGGGTTATGATCAGTAGCATTTGAATCAGAACGCGGAACCTACTTGTAGGCTATGATCGATAACATCTGGATCGTGTAATTGGATCCTATTTGTGGTTATGATCGGTAGCAATTGGATCAAAACGTGGTTCCTACTTGTAAGCCATGATCGATAGCATCTTGATCGTGTAACTGGATCTTTTTTGTGGGCTATGATCGGTAGCATTTGGATCGTGTAAGTGGAAGCAGATCTTTCTTGTTGCTATGATTCAAATTTTTGGACGACAATGATAAAAGATTTCTTGTTTTTCTTTGCTTAAATCACATTAGGTTCAGGAGTTGTCTCTGAGGCTTCGACATTCTCGGTTTCGGTATCTTCGACTTTGGCACTCACGGCATGAGGATTGTTGGTCCCTACAAAATTTCTTGTTGGCAAATTGATGTTTTATGATCAGTCAGCATCAATTTGAGAGGGGGTGTCAATAAGAAATGACGGAAATCAGACAGCTAAATTAGAAGTCTTTTATAATTAGGAGTTTCCTTATTTAAATTATTTCCAATGTCTTTATTCTGATTTATTTTTCTTTTAGCTGAATATTTAGATTAAGAATATGTATTATTAAGTTATTTAAAATTGATTATGCACTTTATTTTGCACCTAAAATAGATTGTAAGATTATTATTTAATGGAATGAAAACAAAGGGAAAAGACATCGAGCCTATTCAGCATTCCCTATTTTTCTCAAAATTTTGACAGAAATTACGATACTGGATGACATTTTTCTTCCACAATAAAGTACTACAACAACAACAACAACCCTTTTTCTCACTAAGTGCGGTCGACTACATGAATCCTTTTTATCCATTGCGTCCTATTGAGTGTCTTATTTTCATTTAATTCTAATAAGTAAAATCATTTTTTATACAATATGCCAAAGTCTTTCTAGGTTTACCTCTGCCTTTATTAACGTAAGTCGAATCTAAAACATCTACTCTCTTAATCAAATCGTCAGATGGTTGACATATAATGTGATCAAACCATCTAGGACGATTTTCTCTAATTTTGTTAGTCACTGGAGCTACACAAACCCTATCACGGAGGCATTCATTTCTCTTAGTGAAAAGCCACTCATCCACCTAATCTTTCTTATCTCGGCAACACTTAACTCAGTTTTATGCTTCTCTTTTGAAGGCCAACATTTAGCGCCATAGGGCATTGCAAATCTCACTACCATCTTATAAAATTTTCCTTTCAATTTAAGCGGTACTTTTCTATCACACAATAGGCCCAAAGTATTCATCCAATTCAACCAACCAACTTGAATTCTACTAATAACATCCCCATCTATATCACCATCACTTTGAACAATAAACTCGAGATATCTAAAGCATTCATATCTTTTAATAATTACATCACCCATAGTTACAATTGTCACTAGAGCCACTACTACTAAAATTACATTCCATGTATTCAATTTTAGTTCTACTCAAAAGAAGGCCTTTAGACTCGAAGGCCTTTACTTAAATGAAGGCCTTTAGAATCCAATGTAGACCTCCATATTTCAAGTTTTTTCTGGGATTTTTCTTTTGTCTCATACACGAGAAGGATATCATCAGCAAAAAACATACACCAAGATACATCCTCCTATAAATGTCTAGTTAGAGCATCTATCTAGTTAGAGCATCTATTACTAGAGCAAAAAGATATGTGCTTAAAGCTCTAGTATACATATCTTTAATGACTTGAATATAACTAAATATTTGGTCAATCCTCCTTCTGTTCGAACACAAGTAACAACTCGAGTATACATATCTTTAATGACTCGAATATAAGTTATAGCAACACCTTTCTTTTCAAGAACCCTGCAACAGATATCTCTTGGAAACTTATCGTATGTTTTTTCTAAATCAATAAAAATTATATGTAGATCTTCTTTGTTATCTCTGAACTTCTCCATCAAACCTCTCAATAAATGTATAGCTTCCATTGTAGGCCTGCCCGACATAAATTTAAGTTGATTATGAGAAATCTTTATAATGCGTTTTAAACTATGTTCAATTACCCCTGCCATATTTTAAAGTATGACACATCAACTTAATTCGTCTATAATTTGCACACTCTTGTGCATCCCCTTTATTCTTAAAAATTGAGACTAAAATACTATTTCTCCACTCCTCAGACATTTTTTTAGTTTTAAAATAATATTAAAGAGTTTAGTAAGCCAAGAAACTCTCAAATTTTCTATATATTTTTACACATCAATTGGGATATCATCAGGTTCTACAGACATTCTACTCTTGGTTTTCTTTAAAGTCTCATCAACTTCTTTTTTACTAATACGGTGGTAAAAATGAAATATTTTATTATTATTAACAATTTTAAGATCACTAAGGTCGATCGTATTGTTAGAAACTTCATTAAAAAGTTTATCAAACTCACCCACCTATGATGAATATTTTTTTCTAAAAAAAGCACTTTTTAATTTCATCTTTAATACACTTGAGTTGAATCGTTACTTTTCTTCTATTTGTTTGACTAGTTTATATATATATACATATATATATATATATACATATATATATATATATACATGTCACCCTTCTTAGTATCTAATCTATTATAAAGATCATTAAGATTTAAATTTTTAACGTCGCAGATTGCTCTGTTAGACTCTCTATGGGTCATTTTATATTTTTTCAGTTCTCTAACTTTTTACATTTAAACCATTTTTTATAATATAACTTCTTATATTTTATATTTTCTTGCACATTATTATTCCACCACCAACTATTTTTATTTATAGAAATTTTTTTATTTTGATTCTCGAAATACATATTTTGTCACTTGTTTAATAGTGTTTGTTAATTTATCTTACGTAGAATTTTATCCTTCATGAACATCCTAAATCTTGAAATATTAAATTTTACTCATAAAAATAATTTTGTTTGTCTTTAAGGTACATTCATCTAACTCAACGACGATGATTCCTAGTATTCTTTATTTTACAACTCTTCATCTTAAAATTTAGAACTAATAATCGATGTTGAGTACTTAAAACCTCACTTGGAATGACCTTACAACATTTACATTCTCAACAATCTTTTTTTCTCATAAGAAAATAATCAATTTTTGTTTTATTAGATCAATTCTTATAAGTAATAATATATTCTTATAAGTAATAATCAATTCTTATAAGTAATAATATGCTCTTTTTTTTGAATAAAATATTAGCAATAACAAAATCATACGCTAAAGCAAAATATAATAGGACTCTACTTTTTTCATTAATCACTCTAAAA